AGGTGTCTGGGGCCCCAAGACTAGGAGTGGCGCAGGGCTCAAACTAGGAGTATAGAACGGCGAGGGGGGGGGATGGAAGGGTGAATGTGGCTTAGGGAGTCCCAGCGCGGAGAGCTGCGCTGTAGACTTACCCCAAGAGGCCTGAGGATATTCAATTTTATTCATTTTACTCAGTATATTTTGTTACCTAACTGCTTAGCTGCAGCCATTAAAAAAAAAGTTTGGATAACGTCCAATTTAGGCTGTGAATTAATTGTACTACATCAAAATCACTTAAGTATGCAGTAATGCTACACCAGGATTTTTGTTCTGTCCATCTTCTCTCAATAAATAAGGACTACTAATGCAAAAGTCACATGAGAATCAATTCCTGATCACCCAAAACAGTAAGCTCAAGGTGATTATAAGGTGATGTCATCCTAGTGATCAAATCCAAGGTTCCAATGAGAATATGCCTACATCAATTAGTATATTTTCCCTAATTGTTTCTTTAGGGTGTGTTGAAAAATACTTTGGGGATAAGATCTCCAAACTATAAATCTGATAGAAATCCTTTTTCCAGCTCATTGATTGGATTACTAGTGCCTCTGAAAGAGTTTTTCCTGGGTCAGGTAGGAATGAAAATTATGACTTCTGTATTCATACTTTTTTACTTGTTATAGTTTTTGTATTATAACTAGGATTCAGGTTTAAACAATACAGTTTGAAAGATTAGGATACAGACTTATCTAGGCAAATTGAGAGTGGATTTGCAACTTTAGTTTTATCACTGGAAAATATTAAAATTTTCTAGAAGTTATGTATTTGTTTTAGTCATTTATTGCTCAAGTAGCATCACTGTCATTTATTTAAAAATACACTAAATAACTGCATTGGAAGAAACTCTGGAATGATTCTTCTTCTTGGTATATTTAATACAATATCTGTTGAAAGAGTAATCCCCAAATGCCCACAAAGCATCTTTATCAAAAAATAAAAAGAAACAAATTAAATTGGAATTTTTTTTTATCATTTTAGTAAATGCAAATCTAATATAGAACTTTCGAAATTTATCTCTAAATTATTGGAAGAAATTATATAAATGATATTTTTTCTGCAACTGTCTCATTTTACTTAACATTAAAATCTCTAGGTACATCTATTTTCCTGCAAATGATGAAATTTCTTTCTTCATGATCACTAAAACTCTTCCTTAATGAGTTCAGTATTACAAAAAGAATTTCTGAAATGGTTTGTGAATGTAATCAGATAATAGGCTTTCCACGAAGTTCTTTGTTAAATATTTTATTTATTCATTATTTTATGTGTGTGAAGTATTTCCTGCACGTATGTAAGTGCACCTGTGTTACGCAGTACCCACAGAGGTCTGAACAGAGTGCTGGATCCCCTGGAACTGGAGTTATTGACAGTTGTTAGCTACTACATGGATGCTCAAACTTGAACCTGGGTCCTCTGCTAGAGCAGCTAGTGCTCTTAACTGATGAGCGATCTCTCCAGCAACTCCATGAAGTTCTTTTGCACAATTAACTTAAAAACTTATTTTACCACAGTTTATGACACCACAGTAACATCTAACAGTATTTGTATTTGCAGTAACACATTTTTCCATGAAGTTCTGGGATTCTTTTTCTGTTTTCACAAGTTCATCAAAAATGTACTGAATTCTCATGGCAGAATAATTAACAGAATGTTATTTCTATACTTAAACTGCTAAAATAGATAATAGATACCTCACTGTGTTGTGTGTGTTCTTAGCATAAATTATAGATATACTAGGGATGCTGGAGTTAGAGATAACAATGACATTCTGTTACGTTCACAGATGAGGGAAGTAGGGTGATGAATGTGTCACAAAATACCCTTTAATTAGCTTAGACTTGCAGGATAAGTAGATTGTGAGGCAAAAAGACACACAGAGAGACAGGCTAGCAGTAGCTAAGCTTTACTTGTGAATGTATTAGTATAGAGGTAGATCTAGAAATGTAATAGCAAATGAAGACAAAGTTAAGTGAAATAAAAGCTTAATAGATATACTCACAAGATTGTAGAACCCTCCATTTCAAAAGTTCTATCAACCTGACTGCAACTGTCATTAAATTTTTGTGACATAAAAAATGCTTTCATTGCTGTTTTGTGCATTTAATATTGGATATTTTAAGAATACCATATACCTCCCATAGAACACTCCATCAAGCTTCACGCATTTTGTCATATGTGCTAAGTCTTATTTGGTCAATCCCTTATACCCAGATGTCCCTAGGCACAACTTCATCCACTGGAGTCTAGTCAGCTAATCTAGAGATCTTAAAAATGATCTCCCTCACCATGCAGTAATCAGCTGCCAATAATTGCTTGGCTAAGGTTGGGGCCTGCTTTCCATTTCCCCAGTTCTAGGCTGAATTATTATTATTTTTTTTGGTCTGATTGAGTCTGCGTGGGTCTTGTGCATTGTGTCACCAGTGTTCCAAGTTAATACGAGCAAGTTCTAGAGGCCTGAAAGCCTCTGTTTCCTTATGTTCATGAACGAACCTTGGCTCTTACAATCTTTCTGCCCCTCTTCTACAATAGCCCCTGAGCCATGCATGGGTGGATAAGTTTTAATATAGTAGTCCTACCCAGGGACACATACTCTGCAGTCTCTTATTCTCTAAAACGTGGCCAGTTGTAGCCTTGTGCGTGCATAACACTCTATTGTATTAGGAAGCTTCACTGGTGAGAGCTGTGGGATGTGGTCCTAGTTTGCTTCTTCATTGCTGTGACAAAACACTCCGACCAGCACCAACTTTGGGAGGAAAAGGTTTATTTAGCTTACATCTCCTGGACCACAGTTCATCAGGGAGCCCAAGGTAGGAACTCAGGGCAGGAATCTGGAGGCAGGAGCTGGAGCACAGGCCATGGAGGAATGCTGCTTACTGGCTTGTTCCGCTGGCCCCTGCTCAGCCTGCTTTCTTATGCAACACAGGCCCACCTGCCCAGGGATGGCACCACCCACAGCGGACTGGGCCCTCCCACATCACTCATCAAGAAGATGCCCTTCAGACATGGCCACGGGCCAGTCCAATAGAGGTAATTCCTCAATAGAGGCTCCCTCAACCCAGATGTTTCAAGTTGACACTAAAGCTATCCAGCACAGATGTCATCAATTTTTATGTTGATGTCTGCTTGCTTTCTACAGCTTCAAGTTGAGACCCAGCTCTCAGGAAATGCCTGTCACAAACAGAACTTCTGTGACAGAATTTGTTTTACTGGGACTCACAGAGCGCCCAGAACTCCAGCCTGTCCTCTTTGTGCTGTTTCTGGTTGTGTACCTCATCACTGTGCTAGGCAACCTGGGCATGATGTCACTAATCAGACTGGACTCCCGGCTTCACACACCCATGTACTTCTTCCTCAGTAACTTGGCATTCGTAGATTTGTGCTACACATCAACCGCCACCCCACAGATGTTGACTGACTTCTTATCAGAAAGGAAGACCATTTCCTTTGTTGGCTGCTTTGTGCAGTGTTATCTTTTCATTGCTCTTCTCCTCACAGAGTTTTATATACTAGCAGCCATGGCCTATGACCGCTATGTGGCCATATGCAACCCTCTGCGCTACAGTGTGAAAATGTCCAGGAGGGTGTGCATCTGCTTGGCCATATGCCCTTATGTCTATGGCTTCTCAGATGGGCTATTCCAGGCCATACTGACCTTCCGTATGACCTTTTGTAAGTCCAATATCATCAACCACTTCTACTGTGCTGACCCACCACTCATTAAGCTTTCTTGCTCTGATACTTATGTCAAAGAACATGCCATGTTAATATCAGCAAGCTTTAACCTCTCTACCTCCCTCTCCATCATCCTTGTGTCCTATGCCTTCATAATTGTTGCCATCCTAAGAATAAAGTCAGCAGAGGGAAGGCACAAGGCATTCTCCACCTGTGGTTCCCACATGATGGCTGTCACTTTGTTTTATGGGACTCTTTTCTGTATGTATGTACGACCACCCACTGATAAGACCGTGGAAGAATCCAAAATAATAGCTGTGTTTTATACCTTTGTAAGTCCAGTGCTGAATCCATTGATCTACAGCCTGAGGAACAAAGATGTAAAGCAGGCTTTGAGGACGGTCCTCAGATGAAATGTCATTAGGACAGCACTGATGCCTCCGCTCTCCAATAAACCACATCTGCAGTTTTGACTCAATTTTGCATTTTCATGAGTTTTCGATGTTCCCTTTGGACATATCTTGGATGTTCTTTTTAAAATGATACTGGTTGTAGAAAAATGATCTGTGTATATTTTTGGTCTTGCTCCCAACATCTACTTTGTGGATCAGTGATGAGTCAATCTGCATCGATAACTAGATTCACTTAGGAGACACACCTCTTGTTTCCACTAAGGGGGTGTTTTCAGGGAGCTTAGTTTGAGGAGAGAGCCCTGGTGTTGATAATGAACAGCATCCTCCCTTGGACTGGGGTTTTGGCTGAATAAAAGGAAAATGCGTAATAGCATGGGTACAATCACTCAACTGTTGTTTGCTTAGTGTGAAAACAGTGTGTCCAAGGCCATCTCTCCTGCTTCCATATATTTCTGCCCTGATGAACTATGTCCCTTCTTATACCTTGAGCCAAAGTATGCTTTTCTTCTCTTAAATGTATCCTGTCAGGTATTTACTCAAGCAGATGAAGACAAATTTCATACATCAGATTGATTATGTTCAAATCCATCTTTTCAAAAAATTTCCAGTAGTTTGACAGACATGTCAAAACTTGAGAAACACTTCCTGAGTGAAAAATTCCATGTGGTATGCCTATGACACTTCCGGGCACTTATGGTTACAACGTTAAACAGGGAAAATCTGTTCTTCGCTCAGCTCATTCCTTTGATAGCCTCTTCAGTATTATTGTTGAACCTTGAAGAAACAAAACCTTCTGCACTCCTCTACTGGCATGCTAAGTAAAATCAGAGAATTTATTAAGTAGTGCGTTCCTGTTTCTTATGCATGTACTTGTACAGGGAATGGGGAACCAGAAATAAGTGGAGCTGCTGGACAGTACTTTGGGATGATGTGAGCTACGGATCCAAGTTTCTGTCTTTAACAAGCCCCACTTCTGCTCTGTGTAGTCATGGAGAGCTCTGTGTGTCTCATTAGCATCTGACAACTTAAAACTGGTTGATTCGAGAGTAGGATTAACATAAAAAGAATCAAATGCAGAAATTCAGTCAACAGCAGGTACACCCGATAGCTGCTTACCTTCTTTGACTTTTCTTCTGGTTCCAGTTACGCTTAGGTTACTAATGTTTGGGTGTTTTTCCTTCATGAGCATAAACAGAACACATGGATTGTTTATTTACTATGATATTGAAAATCTTGTGCAAAAAATGTTTGGCAGCACAAAAGCTCAGAACAACCGTCTCCTCACTCATTCCTTCCTTTACACTTCATCCTCTTTAGCCACCTACAAGCTTCTCACCCGTACTATATGTGTATGTTCCTAATTATTGTTTCCTTACTGCTCTACTTTTTGATTTCTCCATCTATCACTTGGTCAATGATGTTCTAATTTTTTTAGTTACTTGGAAATTCATTATGTTGCTTCCTTGAAATACACTCATATTAGAATGGTATATTATCATATTTATTGCTTGATTGACTAAATATCTTGAAATATTACTGAAGATTTTAATGTACTTTAGGATTTATATTTACTGTATAATTTTACTTCTTAAAACTTTTATTAAGGCCTGGAGAGATGGCTTAGTGTTTAAGAGCACTGACTGCTCTTACAGAGGACCCGAGTTCGATTCTCAGCACCCTCGTGGAGGCTACAAACTGTCCTTAATATCAATTTCAGGGGAATCTTAGATGTCTGAGACATTGCACAGCACGGCTGCACTCACATACCTACAGGCAATACACTCATACACATAAAATAAAAATAATAAATAATTTTAAAATATTTTATTAAATTCTTTAAAAATGTTTTATTTATTTATTTTTATTTGTGTGTATGAGTATATTACCTGCATGTATATAAGTGCACCCATGTCATACAATGCCCACAGAGATCAGAAGATAGCATCAGATTGCCCTGGAAGCAGAGTTACGGATGGTAGTTAGCCATCATGTGGGTGCGGGAAATCGAACTCCCGTCCTCTGCATTAGCAGACAGTACTCATAATCGTTGAGCCATCTCTCCACCCACAAACTTTTATTAAGTTTTAATTTTAGGATTATTATAATTTCATAAATAATTTAAAAGGCATTAATTCTTCTTTTTTCTATATATCATTTACTTAAACCAATAAAGAACTTGTTAAATTGGATGCTCACTATGTTGTTCTGAAATAATACTTCAAATATTCCTAAGCCTAAGAGATTGAACTAATCCTACTATAAGTTGTTACATGTTCTTGTCCACATATTAAGCATTTCGCTCAATGTGTTTTGTTATGTAACCACTTAGTTCTATTTTGTGAAGGTTTGTGTGGCAACCGATTCACTGGTGATTGGTCTATGATTTTCATGCAATAAGTAGTTACTTTTGATGCAAAAATCCCCTGAGAATTAATTCCTGATCTATCAAAAGAGTCAGCTCAAGGTGATTACAAGGTGATGTAACCCCATTGCTCAAATCCCAAGGTCCTAGTGTTTTTCTTAATTATTTCTTGATGGTGTGTTAACAAATACTTTGGGGATAAAACTCTAAATTACAAATCATATATAAATCATTTTTCACCAGCTCATTTCCCGGACCACTAGTGTCTCTGAGAGAATTTTTCCTGGAGTCAGGTAGGAATGAATATTGTGATCTCTGTGTTCACTTTTCTTACTTCAATTTCTGTCCATCATTAGGATTCAGACGTCAAAGGCAGTTTTGAATGTCAGTCTAGAATTATTTGTAGTTAACATAAAATAGTGTATATTTGCTACTTAATTTGATCACTAGGAATTTTAAACTTTTCTTGGAATTATGGATTTGCAATACTGATTTTATTTCATAAATAGGATTTCTATCACTCATTCACATATATATTATACTATAAATGTATGTACATATAAGTATATATGTATATTAAATAACCACACTTGTGGAAACAAGCTTAATTATCTCACTATTCAGAATAGGAATGTGTTTAAAAGGTATTTATCTAATGTCCATAAGGCATCTTTATCAAACTTTAAAAGTCAGGCAGGTTGAACAGGAAGGTTAATGTTTCCAGCAAAAATCTAACAACTGTAAATATTTAAAAGACTTCTCTTTAAAGTATTAGAAAGTATGGGGCTTGAGAGATGGCTCAGCAGTTAAGAACACTGGTTGTTCTTGCAGAAGACCTGAGTTTGAATCCCAACACCCACATGGCAGCTAACAACTGTTTGTAACTTCAGTCTCAGGGGATTCGACAGCCTCTTCTGATCTCCATGGGCATTGCACAACACAGGTGCACTTACCTACATGCAGGCAATACAGGCATACACATAAAATAAAAATAATAAATAAAATTTAGGAAAAAGTTTAAAGTATTAGAAAGTAAAGCTTTGCCAGTAAGTTTGTTAGCCAGGAGGCACATTGTGAGTAACCAGAGCATTTGCAGACTCACGAGTGAAAGAGCTGCACAGTAGAAATGTGGGCTATTTTGAAAACTACTGAATGATGTTGAATAGATGAGAACTTCAAATATCATTGAAAGAAAGTTACTCTGTCAATGTAGTGATTATTATCTAAACGAAATCTCAAAAGAACTTTTACTGAGAGTATGGATATTTATACAAACCTCCAATGTGTAACATGATTTACACCTTAGGGTCTGCACTATAAGGAGATAGTGATCCTTGCATTAATAACTGTGACCCACCCCAAAGCTCCACTTAGGATATTTACAGGAACTGCATGGTGTCATGATTACCTGGCACTTACCCACTTTTGATTTCATTTTCAGCCTTCAAAATGCCATTTTCTGATTTCTTCTTACAGATTTTTTTTCTATCTCTTAATGGTCAGACAAAGTAGATTGGGATTCAGTTACTGATATTAAACTTCAGTAACTTTTCTTCTTCTCTGTCTTTTTCCTTTGTCTAGGCTCCACTGGGCTCCCACTCAATCTAGGTTATTGGAGTACATACATAACATTACACCTTGTGTGTGTCATGAGTTACTGATGTTCCTTGTTACTCTGGCACCTTACATGTTTCCACATTTACTGGAGTCAGAAGAATAAAAAACTGCACATTCCAAGTAGTCCAAATTCAGATACCAAAAGCACCTGTAGAGGTGGGTTTTACAACTTGTGATTTAATTATTGTTGATTGTGATATTTTTTCTTTTCTTTTTAATTGGTGGAGTAGGAAATTCAAGGCACTCCAGATTTTACCTATTCATCAGATTTACCAATTTATCATAAATGACATTTATTGTTTTCTGCTCTTCAGGATAAACCACACAATAAGCAGGCATGTTTTTCATTCTAATGTATTAAAAATAAACATATCTATATAGAGTAACAACATGAATCAAAGTGATAAAAACAAACTGATCGATGGTGACATTATCACTTCATTTGTTTTTAATCATTCTAATCCAAAGGAAGATAATCATATAGAGCCAGTCAAACTTCACAAGGGCTATATTTCTCTTATGTTTATTTTAATAAGTAATATGCATGTTTAAACTCATTACTAACCACACTGACTCATCCCTGAAATTTCACACTGGACAGCATGTCACAGGAAAATGTGTATTTAGAAGAGTATCTCTTTACTCTTGTTCTCTTGAGAATTTCTGTGTGATAGTTCCCATACAATGAAAAACAAAATCTGTCGCCAATAAAATGAACTCAACCATTTCTCTAGCACTGGAATTATACTTACTTGGAAACGTATAGCAGAATGAGTTGAAAAATAGTAAGATTCATGCAAAAAATTATTGTTTCTTTGGTTTAAGTTGAATTCACAAGCACTCTTCTAATCACAGCGCACACTGATTGCAGTGAAACATAATGGGACTTTGAATCCATTAGGAGCTCAGTTTTTCTATATATCATAATAGAAAATTCTGTGAATTGGTTTCTGATATGTGAAATATCTTCCATTTCTATTAAAAGTCTCATAATAAATATCAGCCTGCATGTTCAGATTACACGGAAGTCTTCCTGCCCCCTCTCATCCTTGTAGACAATTATTTTAAATTCTCTAAATCCCAGACAAAAGCTAATGTTCATCAACCTGATGCCTGTCTTTAATCCTAACTAACTGCTTTGCACAACTCTTTGCTATTGAACTAACACATTTAACTATAATTTCCTCTTTTTTTATGGCCTTTAGCCCAGGAGACCTGTCAGTTTCCATGAGGCGAGTAATATCTCCACTTTCCCTCATTTTCTTAGCAAAGTAACTTCAATGCTATTTGTGTAGAGTTCTCTTGTTCAGTGGTGCAGCCCTTCGAGGGCATCACCAAGTCAAAGCACATCATTTGTGCTAGTGTTTGATTCTACTACAATGAATACCTTACAGGTGTAGTTGGTGAAAAGCCACCGTATGAGATTGTTATACTTATCTTAATAGATTAAGCATGCAGACTTTCATTTTGTACCTCAGTTAAGGATATGCTTAAAAACAAAAATAATTTCTGACATTCTTTTGGTAGATATTTCCCCAAAACTGTGGTTTGTGATACTTAAAATAGAAATCTCCTGGTATATTAGAGCATGGGGCCCACATTAACATGGAGGAAAAAGTCTGCCCCATAGTCAGTGTGGTTGTTTACAAGGAATCACTTTCTAGTTCACTTCAGTTGACTCTTTTACCAACCACCCCAATCATCCTGATTGATTATCCAAATAGCTCTGGTAGTCAGCTGAGTTTTACTTCCTTATCTCATCTGTCATTCAACTTGTAATAAAACCAGGTATGACCCCAAGTCTCATAATGAAAATATACTATCTAGATGCCAGTTCAATAATTTGCAGTGTTATTTCATCATGATTGTTGATATTATCTGACTTGATACTGTCTGGACACCTAATCTCTTCATCATAAAAGGATAGTATTCCCTCTGTACCAAGAATAACTCTCTATCCATTTCTCTTCACCATAACAAAGAAAGTAGAACTATTTTTACATGCATCCAGAAAGATGAAGTTCAAATTTCTGTTCCAACAAAAATTTACAAAATTCTTGAGATGCCATTATTTTGTTAATAATGAAAAAGCAAATTGATAAGAATACAAAAATGTGACCTAATTTCAGGCAATTTTTCCCTTTATCCATGTCATCAAAACCACTATATGTGAACATTCCTTCCTTAATAACACCTATGGATATCAGTTACTGCAAAATTGTGAACTTCATATTTTATATTTTCATACCAACAATACATCTGAAATGTGATAATTTTAGCATTAAAATTGATCCAAAAAAATTTACTTCCAGGCCTCTACTTCTGTGATTTCGAAAAAGCACACAGAGAGCTAAATTCTCCATTGTGAGGCTTCTAGATATGTTCACAATGTAAGTGGCACGAAAAGTCTTTTCTAAAATATTTTAGAAGTAGCCTGTCATTTTATAGTAAACTCTGAGGGGAAGATGTACATATAAGTCATTTTTGGACTAATGTTGTTCCACGGTCCATTCTAAAACACATTGGTAGCTCAGAACCCTGTACTATAAGAAATGACCCATACTTGTGCATTCAGCTAACTGAGGCTGTGTGTGGCTTTTAGAACATCAATCCTTGGCTGGGGGAATTGGTTCAGTGGATAAAACATCTGCTGTGCAGTAATGTGGACATGAGTTCCCTTGCGCCTGGCTGGGGTAACCCTTATTTACAATATCAGTGCTCCTACCATGAGTTGAGAGGCAGAGGGACAGCAGAATCCAGAGAAACTACCTTGCCTGGTCTCCATTCTTAAGTGGAGGTGTTGAAACCTCTCAAACGAAGCAAGATGTAAGGTCAGACATTTGAGGTTGTCCTCTGATCATCGTAAGCAAGTTATGGCACACACATCCACACACAAGTACACACACTGAAACACACATACACACACACACACACACACACACGGGGATGCATACATGCACACTCATAGCATGTGCACAGTTACTCAAAAAGATTGAAAAATAAAACCCAGAATACTTGCCCTGGTTTTCCCAAACCTTAATAATAGCTCAGTGAGAATGAGTAAGAGGGGAGGTAAAGATATAGTGAGAATAGCAGGAAAAAAGATAGAAACATTATCTAATGTACATCACATTTACCCTTCTTTAGTTCACTTTAACTCACTTAAGTGAACATGGTGGCACCTAAGAAAATGGTCAGAGGCAATTCTTCCATGGTGACTGAGTTTATTCTCTTGGGATTAACGGATCGACCAGAGCTTCAGCCTGTCCTCTTTGTGCTCTTCCTGTTGATCTATCTAATCACTGTTGGGGGAAATCTTGGGATGATGGTGCTGATCAGGGTTGACTCACGCCTGCACACACCTATGTACTACTTTCTTGCCAGCTTGTCCTGCTTGGATTTGTGCTATTCCACCAATGTGACACCCAAGATGCTGGTCAACTTTTTATCAGAGAAGAAAACCATTTCCTATGCTGCTTGTTTAGTCCAGTGCTACTTTTTCATTTCTATGGTGATTACTGAGTATTATATGCTAGCTGTGATGGCTTATGACAGGTACATGGCCATCTGTAACCCTTTGCTTTACAGCAGCAAGATGTCCAAAGGAGTCTGTGTTCGACTGATTGCTGGCCCCTATATTTATGGGTTCCTTAGTGGCCTGATGGAAACCATGTGGACATACCACTTAACCTTCTGTGGCTCCAATATCATCAACCACTTCTACTGTGCTGACCCTCCCCTCATCAGACTATCCTGCTCTGACACATTCATTAAGGAAACGTCCATGTTTGTGGTAGCGGGATTTAACCTCTCCAACTCCTTGCTCATAATTCTTATTTCCTATTTGTTCATCCTCATTTCCATCCTAAGAATGCGCTCTGCAGAAGGCAGGCGCAAAGCATTTTCCACCTGCGGGTCCCATCTGGTGGCTGTGACTGTGTTTTATGGGACTCTCTTCTGCATGTATGTTAGACCTCCCACAGACAAGTCAGTGGAACAATCCAAAATCATTGCTGTGTTCTACACTTTTGTAAGTCCTATGTTGAACCCCATCATTTATAGCCTGAGGAACAAGGATGTGAAACAAGCGTTCCGGAAACTGGTCAGAAGAAATGTTTTCGAAGTAAAATTGTAGTGTAATAATAAATCAAGTAAAGTTCTGTTTATGAGAATAGCATCCAACTTTAAGGAAACGTTCAGTAAAGTCAATTTTATATCCATGATAAAAGCTATATTCTTACAACAAAATATAAAATAAAGAGGTATAAAGATAGTTTATATGTCATGTAGAAGTTCAATACATTAATAAAAGTTGGAAACAAGTATTCTTCTGTTACACATTTGTGCATTTATATATTGTTTTTACTTTATAAAAGCATTGCATTCGTGATAGCAAAACATCCAAGCTCCATAGAAAGATATGAAATGAAAGAGGAAATTTTTTCTCCATCATCATCTTCAATTCTTTTTCTCCAAATACATATTTATTGAAATTTGTACATTATATACATCTTAATCATATCTAGATCCCTTTCCTAATTCATGCCCCCTCAGAGCCCTCCACCCATAAGATTTCATGTATTCTATCATATATATATTAAAGCTTATCAAGTTTATATGCTCAGATGTCCCTTGGAGTGAATTCATCCACTGGAGTCTAGTCAGCCTATATAGAGTTACTCCCTTAAAGATGATCAACTCCCCCTCAGCCAGCAGTAATCAGCTGCCAATAGTTCCTTATAGATAAGGTTGGGCCCTCCTGCCCATTTCCCCTGTTCTATGCTGGTTTCATTGTTGGTTGAGTTTGTGTGGGTCTTGTGCATGCTGTCACCATTGTTGTAAGGTCACATGAACAAGCTTCCAGAGGCCTGGAAAACTGTTTCCTTGTGATCATACACCAACCTTCGCTCTTACAATCGTCCCCCCCTTCTACAATGATCCCTAAGCCATGGGTGGGTGAGTTTTAATATAGAAGTCCTATCCAGGAACATGTACTCTGCAGTCTCTCTACAGTTTGGCTGGTAGTGGCATTATTTCATTATTAGTTTACAGAGTTACTATTAGAAATTTCTTACATTTTTAGATAAAAAGATTTCTACACCACCAAAAAGATGTGTCTAAATTTGTACACATGTATACACAATTGATAAAACACACACTGAATATCAGAGATGAGTTTTACTGACTTACTACTCTGTAACATTTACTGTTCAGGAGCTTATACTTGATATTTTACAGGACTATGAATATGTCTGCTGATGAGGGCTGTTGTTATCTGTAGGACAGGAAATTTAGTATAACTTCAATATCTACCCCGGCCATCTACCTATTTTTTTCCCACTTGTAAGAATCACACGCAGTAAAATATATTCTTCATTTTGCCACAACAGAATGCCAGGACTTTCAAATGGTTATCTCTTCAGACTCCTTAAATTTTTTACAACTTTGTGATCTGAGATCAAACTTATTGTGCAAATTAGTATCACTCTGCCTTAGTTTACTTCTTTATAAAATAAAGGAATTTAAAATACCATGCTTTCTCATGAAGAAATCTAATACACATATGCAACTGACTGATCTCAAATATATGCCCACTCAGTAAAAACTCACTAATTCATTTTACCTTGATATTTCCTTCATCTATTTTACAAAACACAATTTCCTTTGATATATTTGTCATTTTTGAGTACAATTAGTGCTTATTTGCCCTATATTGTAATTATCACAAGTAAGAAACCAGTATTTTAAAAGTAATTACTTTTTGTTGCCTGGCACTATGTATAGTTTTTGCTGCCTTAAAAATACAAAGCAGGACATAGGGTCTGCCTTTAATCTCAGCCCTCAGGAGGCAAAGGCAGGCAGATCTCTGTGAGATTGAGCCCAGCCTGGTCTACATAGTGACTTCCAGGTGGTCTGGGATTAGAGAGGCATTGTCAAAAAATAAAAACAAAACCAAATAAAACAACAACAACAACAACAGAAATACAAAATAGGGGCTGGAGAGATGGCCCCGAAGTTAAAAGCACTGGCTGCTGTTGCAAAAGATCCTGGGTTTGGTTTCCAGCATCCATATGACAGCTAACAACCATCCATAAAAACAAATCCAGGTGATACAACGCACTCTTCTGACTTCTGTGGGCATTGCACACTTATGATACACTTACGTACATATAGGCAATACCCTCATATACATCTGGGAAGTGGGTGTATAGTTGAATAAGATGGTTTGGGATGTTCTGTGTGATATATGCACATGCAAAAAAATCAACAAATTGAAAAAATGTATTATATTTGAGGAGGAAGCATAAAAATTTATCTCATGTTAATTAGCAGAGGTGATAAACATTACCACTGAAATCTACCCGATGACTTTATAGACATACGCAGGCACCAAGGATCCAAGTGCAACCGATTGTGACTAGTAATAATCAGATACATACAGATTAGAGACGCATGCGCCAACATCTCAGTGTTAGTAGCAAAAACAATGAGTCTTTCTGTAAGAAACCCTATATTTTAAAATGACATGGAGATCTTTTATAAATGTTAAAAACTCTTTCAATTTTATGTCTTATAGGGCTTATACTGAGTTAAGTATTGTATAACTGTATTAATTCAACTGTGAACCTAAAAATTTACAGCCACTTTTGAAAGAGATGTATTCTTGCTCTGGAGTGTGTTACTGAATATGTTAAAGCTGTAATGAAATGCTTTTCTAATCATGTGGTTATTAAATCTTAAAAAAAATTAAAAAATAATTCTTCAAAGCATAAAAAATATAAATAGTAGATAGATGAGCAGATGGATTGAGAGATAAAAGCTGTATTGTACAGTATGAAGTTTATAATATCTTTTAAGGTGACAGTGCTCCTACTAGACATCTAAAGCATCCTGTTGTAATCTTAAATCGGTACAGTTTATTCACTCCAGATTTCATTCTATGTAAACAGAAGAATTCATCTGTAAATGTTCAGAACAAGTTAGACCAGAGCAAAGGAACTGTGCCTCTTGAGCTTGACCAGTTATCCAGTGTTGCAACTTGTCTTCATAACTTTTTCTAGGCATATGCAGTCTCTTTTTGTGGAAAACATGGATATACATCTGTAGATCATACCCTCAGAGTATTGACTCAGCAATCTCACAACCCTGCAAATTCTGATTGATTTTTCACTTGAAAATTTCGTTTTTGTTGTCTGTCTATTGGAACACTGTAACATGATCACATTCCTGCTGGCAGAAGCTTCATCGTTCTTTCATTTGCTGCAGTCACATCTACCTGGTGGTCTGACCTCTAAGCAGGAGTAACCTCCAGTCCAAAGTTCTCCACATTTATCAGGCTGCTAATATATGTGCTTCATATGGACCTATGTAATATCTTAGCTGTTTCCTACAGAACCAGCGATGTACATCATCCTGCTTTGCCTCCTTGTAGCTGCTCAGACCACATAAAACTAGCTCTAACCGTAAGATACACTGTACATCCAAAATGTGCTTTGGAGTAACAGAAGCCCTGAGTTCATATTTTATAAAAAAAAAAAATGTTTCTGCTCTGTGGGCCATACAATCTCTCTGATTTTTAACCCTATCTAATAGATATGATGAAGTAATGGACTCTCAGTGAAATCAAATCTAAAGTAGTATCTGTTGTATGTGCTAGTGAGTTTTTGAAACATGAAATGCAATAAACGTAATGTTGAAAATTATAAATGTGTCGGTTAAGTTTGTGTCTAAACTTGATTGGGCTACGGGCTGGCCAGATAGACAGTAAAACATTATTTCTGGGTGTGCAAATGAAAGTGGTTCTGGGAATGACTAAGGGTTTTCATTAGCAGAAGGATGAAGGGAGATTGTCCATTCATATGCAAAGTACCACCCAATCCACTAGTGCATTGCAGACACTGAAAAGTCTAAAGAAAGGAGTTTGCTTACCCTTCTTCAGCAGGGATATGTAACTTTTGTCTTTGGATGTTGGTGTTCCTGGTTCTCAGACTTTCAAACACATCACTGTCACCCCTTTGCTTACAGAGTTGTATAGACTTAAGTCCCCCAGGCATGCAGCTGATATATACAGTGTGGGTCTTCAGGAAATGTGCTATACTTCAAAGAAATGTTTGTTTTCTCATTTTCTAAGCATAAATACAGTAAATATATCGGAGTAGTTTTTTGAATGTGAGATTGTAAGTGGATGAATGAAATGTACATTAAGGGGGTTGGAGAGTTGGCTTTGCAGTTAAGAGCACTTGCTGCTCTTGCAGAGGACCCAGGTTTGAGTTTCCAGCACCCATTCTAGGAGCCTCATGACAATCTGCAACTTCAGTTCTAGGGTATCTTATGGCTTCTTCTGGCCTCTACGGGCACCTGCACACATGTGGAATATGTAAATACAATCAAGCACACACACGTACACATAAACTTTTAAAAATCTTTTCTCTTTAGAGCTTTTAGCATTTCAAGCAATTACCTCACATTCTCTGTATAATAGTTCCAAAACCTTGGCACATCTGACTTTTATTCTAATGCCTGTGTTTCCTCTTCATTGGATGATCTTCTTCCTCTAGGTGTTGCTCTGTAATATTTGTTGACAGCCATACTTTACATATCAGGTGACAGAAGCTGAGGTTTCATTTAATCCAGCCATAGTCCAGCTGCACTTAATGTTCTCTATAGCTCCAGGTGTCAAAGACTTTGGCTTTCCTTGGTGAGCTTGTTTTTGTCTCTCCCTTTGACTTGGGCTTCTCCTTGCAAAGAAGCAACAACTATGGCTCATTGGGCTGTGGACCATTGTTAGCTCACTTGGGTCTGGGCTTGGTACAGGGAGGGGAGAACACTACACTCAGGATATGTAGCTTAGAGTGAGCTACTTCCCAAATTTTCTACTGCTTTTGTCTATAGTGGTCTCCAGTCATTTAATATCTGATCCTAGAATGATTGAGGGAGAGAAAATATGAAAATAATGGCTTGGACACTCACACATGTGCACAGACACATACATACATACACACACACACACACACACACACACACACACACACACACACAGAGTTTTCCTGTGGTACTGTCCCATTATCCCATGGGTAAAGTTGTAGAGTGCTGTTTAATATTTTTAAGTATTTGGAAATGTTATCTTTATCTTTC